TAAAGGGATTCAAACCTTAAAGCTTATATCTGCTATATTAGGAATGAACGTATTCTATCTGAAGGTCACTGTGTTCATATTACAGTTTCCCTTTAAACTTTAACCTTCTGTGGTGTAGTTGGTAGCACCTTGGCTCAGTAATTATAAGTCCCAGGTTCAAGTCGGGGTAAAAAGGATTCATGAATTTCACATATGTAATGTGCCTATTTGGTTATTGTTGGTCCCGAATGAAATTGGGAGTTGAATTAAATACGAAAACAAAACCATGTGTGAGTTTGGGGAAACTGTAATATGAACACAGTGGCATTCAGATAGCATGCGCTCATTCTTAATATCGCAGATATAAGCTGTATGATTTGTTTCCCCTTAACCTTCTGTGGTGTAGTTGGTAGCGCTTTTGCTTAGTAATTATAAGTCCAAGGTTCAAGTCCCGGTCGAGTTTTTTTTATGAGTGTGACACCGAGACAGGCAGAAACTGCCCTCGTCAATAAAGGCCCGGGCACCAGAAATACCAAGACGAAGGAAAAGAAAAAGGTTAAGGGCAAGACAGAGATGAGGTAATGTCAAACAAAGGAAAACGACATATTGAAAAAAAACAGTCAAAGTACAGAGGACCCAGAGATATGCAGGATTAGGCTCTGAGATGACGATAGATCAGCTTTTTGAAGGATGAAAGGTCATAAGAATTAGGAAAGACAGAAGGAGGAAGAGAGTTCCAGAGTCTGGAGGTAGATGGGAAGAAGCAGTCACTGCACTGACCTATCCTCGAGCTACAAATCTCCACACAGTACCTGTGAGATGAGGCCGCTTGGCGAGTGTTACGCGGCCTCGGCAGTGGAGGAGGGATGCAACTCGCCAACTCATCAGAGCAGCGATGGAAGTAGTAGCAATGGAAAAGAGAAAGTAAAGATACCTTACGGCGAAGAGAGAGAGATCATTAATGAGTGATCATTAATGAGTCTGACTGCCTTAGATTCAACCCTATCAAGAAGATAAGTATAAGAAGAAGCACCCCAGATGTGTAAGCAGTATTCTAAGCAGGGACAGATAAGACCTTTATAAATTTTAAGTAAGTGTACAGAGGAAAATAATGACGAAAACGAAACAAAATCCGCAATTTTTTGGATGAAGATTTAGAAATTTGGATGATATGATTTCTCCAAGACAAGTTAGAGGCTATATGGATTCCTAAAATGTTGATAGAATTAAGAGGGTAAATTTCGTTAGCTTCGAAAACAATAGGGTTATCAGGAGGAGGGGGAGATAAAGAAATAGCCAGAAACTGTGTCTTGGAGGTATTGAATTTAATTAAATTTTGAGTGCCCCACTCAGATACTCTCTGCAAATCGGAGTTAAGAGTAGTAGAAAGAGTGATGCAAAACTGATCGCGACTAACAGATGAAGGTGGTGAAGAAAAGGCAGAGGAATAGTGAAGGGTAGAATCATCAAACTCTGTCAAAAGCCTTAGAGATATCAAGGGCGACGACAAAGGATTCCCCATAGTTCCACAGAGAAGATGACCATACATGAGTAAGATAGGACAGGAGATCACCAGTGGATCTTGCCTTGCGGAAGCGGTACTGGTGATTGGAGATAAGTGAGTTAGATTCAAGGGATTTCAAGAAGTGAGTATTGAGCAAAGTTTCGAAAACTTTAGCAATAGAGGAGGTTAGGGCAATGGGTCGGTAATTTGAAGGAATAGACCAGTCACCTTTCTTAGGAACAGGTTAAACTACAGCATGCTTCCAAGATGAAGGATAGATACTGGTTGATAGAATGAGGTGAAAAAGACGGCAAAGCATGGGATCCAGTTCATCTGCAAACTCCTTAAGATACCTTGCAGGGATACCATCGGGACCAGATGCCTTGTTCATCTTTAGTGAGCGAAGAAACTTATGAACTTTGCGTGAGGAAAGGATAAAGGAGGGCATAGGGTTAGAGAGGGGTAAAGATTGAGGAACAGGTGTGCTGGAATCGTTTATAGAAGAGTTGGCAGAAAAATGAGAACCAAAGAGAGTGGTTTTGTCAGTGGGAGAGCAAGCTATAGAACCATCAGAACGAATGAGGGGGGGAAATCTTGAGTTACAGAAGTTCTTGGAGAGGTTTTTGGCTAAGGACCAGAAGCATTTGTCAGTCGGAAATGAGTTAAGGCCACCAACTTTCCTTCTTATAAAGGAAGCTTTAGACCTTCGAATCTGAGCAGTACAGCAATTCCTAGCTACAATTAAAGCAGAGCGAGTTAAATCGGAAGGAGAAGCTTGGTAAGATCGTTGTGCCCGATTCCTGGCCTGGATAGCCATGGGGCAGGCACGGTCAAACCAAGGTTTTGGGGGAGAGAAAGTTTTTGTAGAAGGAGGGGATGTACACCTCCATTCCCGCAGTCAGGATCTCGGTAACTTTTAGAGCTACCTGATTGGAATTGCGGGACCGAAAGCAGTAGTCATCCCATGGGAAGTCAAAGAGAAATTTACGCAAATTTTCATGTTAGGTACACTCAAAGTGTCAAAGGCGGTGCTGAGTAGAAGGGATTGGTGGTGGGGGAGCAAAAATGGAAGAGACTGAGATCATAGATTGGTCAGATTTACCAAGATGGGAAAGCACAGAATAAGAGTAGTTTGAAGGGTTAGAAGTAAAAAATAGGTCAAGAGTGTTTGCTGCATGTTCGAGACTATCAGGAACAGGAGTAGGATGTTTGATAATTTGATCCAGATCGTGAGTAATAGAGAAAGCAAGGGCCTCACATCCTCCCACATCACTGTGAGAAGAATGAAGCCACCCACTGTGGTGTCCATTGAAGTCTCCAATGTAGAGAACTTCGGCATGTGGGTGAGAAGGTAGCAATGGCTCATGGCACGAGGACAGATATTCAAAGAAAGACAGACTCGGTTGAGTTTGGAGAACAGTAGCAGAAGTAGAGGAAGATAGTGGTAGTGGAGATATAGACTTTTAGCCAGAGAACAAAGTCAGGAATGATTCATGCTTTCACATATGTAATGTGCGTATTTGGTTTATATATATATATATATATATATATATATATATATATATATATATATATATATATATATATATATATATATATATATATATATATATATATATATATATATATATATATGCATGGTCACTGCAACCGAGTAGTAGCACTCGCGACTTTGATTTGTCAGGTCGAGGGTTCACGGTTCACACCGGTTTTTGGTTAGAAATGGCATTCACTCAGTGTAAAGGTTGCACTTGCCAAAACCAATATATTTCAAAAGAGGCACCGTCTTAGCCTTTAATGAAAAAGGGAGTCCGTGGCGTAAAACAGATCATATTATTTTTTATGAGTATGACACCAGGACTGGCAAGAAAATTGCTCTCATCAATAATGGCCCTTGAAAGAAGAAAACATTAAGACGAAAAAAATTAAAGGTTAAGGCAAGGCAGAGATGAGGTATTAATGCACAATAGGAAAAGGATAGGCTGAATGTATAGTCGAAGTTCTGAGGACCTAGAGATATGGCAGGATTATGTTCTGAGATGACGATAGATTCGTTTTTTTTTGGAGGAAGATAGGTTATAAGAATTCGGAAAGACAGAAAGAGGAAGATAGTTCTATTGACTGGAGGAAGATGGGAAGAAGCACTTTCTGCACCGACCAATCCGCGAGATTCAAATCTCCACACAGTACTTGTGAGACGAGGACGCTTGGCGAGTTTTATGCGGCCTCAGCAGTTGGGGAGGGATGCACCTCATCAGAGCAGTGATGTAAGTAGTACTGACAGAAAAGAGAAAGTGATGATATCTTACTTGAAAGAGAAAGAGAATCCAGATTAAGAGTCAGAGAAGGATCATTAATGAGTCTAGCTGCCTTAGATTCAGCCCTATCAAGTTTATGAAGAAGCACCCCAGATGTGTTAGCAGTACTCTAAGCAGGGACGATGAGACCTTTAAACTGTAAAGAAGAAAAGTAAGGGCGAAAACGAAATAGAGCGCCCAATTTTTTGGATGCAGATTTAGAAATTCGGCTTATGTGATTTCTCCAAGACAAGTTAGAGACTATCTGGATTCCTATTATATTAATATAATTAAGAGGATAAATTTCGTTAGTTTCGAAGACAACTGAGCTATCAGGAGGAGAAGAAGATAAATAGATAACTAGAAACTGTGTCTTGGAGGCAATAATTATAGCTAAATTTTAAGTAACCCACTCAGTACCCTTTGCAAATCGGAGTTGAGAGCAAAAGAAAAAGTAATAGGAGGCTGATTACGACTAGAAGATGAAGTTGAGAAGAAAAGGCAGAGTAAATATGCAGGGTAAAATCGACGACAATTGTGTGAAGAAGTGAGGATTATGGGGATTGAAGAAGATTTTTGATGAAGAGAAGAAACAGAGTAGGTAAAAGAACAGAGCCCTGTGGAACACCACTGGTAACAGAGAAAGGGCTAGATGTCGCACCGTCAACAACACAGATATAAAACGGCAGAAAGAAAACTGGAAATCAAAGAAATGAGAGAAGGATTAAAGCCATAGGAAGGGAGTTTAACCAACAGAGCCTTGTGCCAGGCTCTGTTAAGAGCCTTATAGATATAAAGGGCGACGATAAAGGAGTTTCCATTATTCCTCAGAGTAGATGAGAATTGAGCAAAGTTAAGAAAACTGTAGCATTAGAAGAGGTTAGGGGAATAGGGCGATAGTTTGAAGAAATAGAGCGGCCACCCTTCTTAGAAACAGGTTGCACTAGGGCATGCTTCCAAGATGAAGGTTAGATACTGGTTGAGAGAATGAGGTAAAAAAGACAGCAAAGCACGGGAGCCAGTTCATCTTCAAACTCCTTAAGGAACTTGCAGGGATATCATCGGAATCAGATGTTTTGTTCGTCTTTAGCAAGCGAAGAGCCTCATGAACTTTGCTTGAAGAAAGCATAAGGGAGGGCATAAGGCTAGAGAGGGTAAAGAATAAGGGACAGGTATGCTGGAATCGTTTATAGAAGAGTTGGCAGATAAATGAGAGCCAT